CTTTTTTAGAAATATTCTACGACCCTATATATCAATAATTGAGAACAAAGATTTAAGCACGAATACTAATAAGGAGAAAATGAAGGCTTGGAGCGATATAACAGAGAAGTAAACATTTTAATAAGTACCTGCATCTCAAAAAAATGACCACATTATTTAATCAAAACATCAGATTTAATCTAGCAAATATAAGGACAAGAGACAAAAAACAATTGATGAATCAGTGGAAGTGCACTAAATTGAATACAAAAAAAGAGTTGTCATCTTATCGCCGTGAAACATCAAAAACTGGAGGTGGAACAAAGCCACCATCACCTTCTCGAGACACAATGGTTTGAAGTAGATTTCAATGAATTTGATTGTGATGGTGTCGAGGTAGGAATGTTAATTATAAATATGATGTATGGTGATGTTCAAGGTTCAACCTTTCAAGCATAGGCATATGCTTACAACATTACTTTATTCCCCTACAGGGTAGTTAGAGATATTGTAATACCTCAAAACATCCATGTTGCACTTGTAGTACCGAAACTCTGTCCTGCCAGAAGTGAGCCCATTCCCACTTATAATGGACAGTGGGTATAATACACCTTAATACCTGAGTGCGAACCACTCACCATGATACTTAAATTAATAGATGTTATTTATATATTTCAGGTTATTACAAATAAAATCATTTTGGAAACAATTGATATCCCAAAAGCAAATAAAGCCAACAATGACAAGGTAATAAATCAGTTTTGACATAACTTGAATACTAAAAAAAGCCAAACAAAGGTGTGCACAACAGTGACAACATAACTTAACAATTTCATTATTTTGTAGGATTAAAGAAAGGTTAAAGAAAATCATGTCGAACTGAACAACAAGAATCCCCAAACAACTCCAAAGAAACCTACAAGGAAGACACCGGTATTATATTTAAATTATCTCTATCTCTAAATAGAATAAAAGAAAGTTGCTATCCAGGTCTGTAGCATGTGCTACAAATTATATTATTAACACATTTATATAATTATATTAATATAAATGTGTTAAAAAATTTATAATATGAATTATAAAAAATTTTAAGTTTTGCATGGACAGAGCTTAAATTAATATTCTCTTATTTGTTGCAGAAAGCAAGTAGTTTTGGAGAAGCCTCGTAGATGCACAACCAAGTAATGATTAATTTAAAATTACAAACCGAAATTCTGATGAAGACATTAGAGTCACTTAAAAATAAATAGTATAATGAAATAAAAATGTTTTAAAGATAAATAGTGTTTTATTTGTTTAATGTAAGAGAATAATAATAAATATTTATTTAATTAATTTTTCAAATGTAAACTGAACTTTATTGACTTTAATGACTCCTTTTCCAGTCTTTGATTATTTAATTGTAATTAATTATTTGCATGCAATCAAAAACTATTTTTAATAATGCCAAAGAAGTATAACTTCTTACGCGCGTACATAAGTACACGCACCCTTTTTTTAGTCTAGCCTTATACCTAAGTCACGTACTCATCTACTTCTTTAACGGATTTGTAATTAATATTATAACAATTTTTGAAGTTATACTTCTTTAGGCGCGTTATGAAAACTTGATGAGAGTGAAATAGGGATGTGAAAAAATAATCGATTATTAAAAAAATCGATTTTAATCGATTCTTTTTAAAGTAAAAATGGATTTTTTACGCGATTTTTATATTTAAAATAATCGATTAATAATCGATTATTTTTATAATTGAAAATTAATCATAATCGATTTTTTATCTGCCACCTCCCGACATTATGTCTGGTCTTCTATAACCCGGACCTCGAACTATTAGGGATATTCGATACACAACGATGTTTACAATGCGATACATTGATGTTTTTTTGTAAAACATCAAAAGGATGATAGAAGCAGTTAATTTTAATTTTTACAAAAAATCAAGTTTGAATGGAACCCTACAATTTAAAAGTAAAATAAATTTATTCAGCAGCACAAGACTACATACAATTAATAAGACAACAAAACTACTGCAATGTGCTACTGAAAAGGAATACACTCAGCATTTATCAAAATCTATCAAAACGAGATAAAGTTAATTTCGATTTTGATTATTCTTAAACGTTAATTTGTGTTTATAATTTCTATTGTTTATTTTTAATTTAAAAAAACCATGAAAAGTAAAATATTTAGGGTTGAAATTAATTCAAAAATTAGGAAAAAATCGATTAAATCGATTAATAAAAAAAAAACGATTATTTTTTTAAGAAAAATAGATTATTTATTAATCGATTATTCATGCTAAAAAAAAATTGATTAATAAAAAATCGATTTTTTATGCAGAATGTCACATCCCTAGAGTGAAATTATACGATGCGCGCGCACCGTTACACAAAATTAACAGAATGAAGTTGCCCACGGAAGATGCTACGGCATTGGACATAATTTAAAAACAACATTCGAATAATAATAGAATTTATGTTACACTTAATGTAAGAGAATAATAATAAATATTCATTTATTTAATTTTTCAAATGTAAACTGAACTTTATTGACTATAATGACTCCTTTTCCAGTCTTTGATTATTTAATTGTAATTAATTATTTGCATGCAATCAAAAACTATTTTTAATAATGCCAAAGAAGTATAACTTCTTACGCGCGTACAAGTACACGCACCCTTTTTTTTCCTACTGAATGTTATTTTGTACATTTTGCAGTATTAACCGATATTCAATTTTGTCTACAATAATTACAAAGAACCTAAGGGACCCCAAAGAACAAAACGGTCAGAGGAAACCAAAAACGAAGTCGGAGCTTCCGTACTACGCAATCCTGGGCAATCAACTGACAACTCGCAACTCGCAAGCGATGAGCAGCCCTGCGATTCTGTAACTCACTTTTCGAACTCACACAGCGGTTTTCGCAGCGGCGGTCGTGCTCAAATCATTCGTGAAGCAGACATTTTATGATTTGGCATTCTGATAACGTCCCTCCTTGTAGATTATTGTTTATAGGATTGCCAGCCTCGAATAAAAAACTCATAAAATTCTAGCACCGCCAACCGCAACGGCCTGTCTACGATTCGTTATATTATGAACAGAACCACGGGTGAAATATTCACCACGTATTAGGGATACGTGTTGTGTGGAGTTATGTGTTGGAGTGTTGGAGCTTATGTAATAGGATGGTGTGATTCACATCAACCTGTGCACCACCATCGATACTTTGTAGTACGAACACGAACGAACTGAACACAGTCAAGTTGGTTATCATAGAATGATTATTAATAAAACCATGTTGTTCATCTGGAAGTGAATTGTTTATTATTCAATAGATGGCTTTATAAATTATCTTTTCAAAGACTACTGAAAATGTTACGAATCGATTTTTGGCGATATTTTTCAATACTCAACCGCAAGCCACTCTTATGAACCGGTAGTATTTTAGCGACCTTCCCTACATCAGGATAATTGCCATAATATGTGTTCACGGATAAGTTCAATGAGTGAAGTGACATATTCTTCAGTAAATCTCTTGTTTTAGACACGATGCTTAAGAGATTATCAAATTTAATAACTTGTTCTAAATCTGTACACCAACTGCTTGCGCATGCGGTGCGGTTCCTAACTCTAACACGCATTTCTTTGGTGTTCCGGGTGTTGATGTTGTGCAATACACGAAGTAACGATAACCTATCGCTATTTCATGCGGTTCTAGATAGTTTTTTTTTGTTTTATATTATGGCAATAGTTTTAACTTTAAGCCAATTCTAGTAATGGTGCGTTCCACTAAGCGCTCACGACGATCACGCTCACGACCGCTGATTTCCCCATTCCACTTGATTGTGAATGTTACTGTCGTTAACTCAAGTGGAATGGATTATGGAGCGTTTCGGGCGTTCATGTAAATATTACAAATGTCAAGTTTGAAAATAGTAGAATTTTAAGGAGGTTAGGTAATCATAAACAATAAGTTTTGATATTTGTGACTTAAATTTATTTATGTTAAAAGTGAAGAATAATTGAATATTTTATAAATAATTTTGGTGAAGTTATCAAACAACTTAAGTTTAAATATAATCGAAATGGCTTTACAATTTCTCTTTCTGAATCAAATAATGTGATTTTTCTTGTCGCCATCTTTAAGCTTTGAATATAATAATATTATTATTTGTCATATTTCAATAATTGCGCCAAATTATTCTCAACGTTCACAACGACCCACCTCTTTAGATGGGTCGTTGTGAGCGTTGCGTGAGCATTTGTCATGACGTCATGAGTGACGTTTTCGCCGTGACCACAACGACCGCGGTCGGTATGTGGAATGGCTAAAGGAGCATTTTGATCGTCGTGAGCGCTTAGTGGAACGCACCAATAGTTACTTAAACTAAGATGACTTTAGAAAGATTGTTAATTTTCAGCGCCTTGACATTGCTGTCACTGTGACGGAAGTGGAAACCATAATATCAAACAGTTTGACGTATGTCAGTACATCAAATGAGTATGAGGTATGTCATTACATCAAATGAGTATGACGTATGTCAGTACATCAGATGAGTATGACGTATGTCAGTACATCAGATGAGTATGACGTATGTCAGTACATCAAATGAGTATGACGTATGTCAGTACATCAAATGAGTATGACGTATGTCAGTACATCAAATGAGTATCAATAATTTTTAATTTTGAACACTTGATGTGGTTGTAGCGTTAGTGCAGTTGTGCTTGTCAGCCATATTCACATTACACAAGAAACTGGCGGACGTTGATGATTATAAATTAAACAAAAATCTTAACTTTAGTTTTAGAGTATATAATTGACAGCTTAATTATATGTTCTAACTGTAATCACAGTGAATTTTTTATTTAAGCATTTCTGTAAAATACGTACTACTCGAGTGTTATCTACGAAGATGCTCTCCTTTTTTTGTGCGAAGGGTGTTATAAATAATTTGTGGTGCTACGAGTAAAATAATACAAGAATATGCTGTGATTCTAACTGCCATTACCGTGTAGAAATGGAAGTAAAAACGGGAGTTATTTTTATTTTGTGTCTTATTTCCTTCAGTTTTGCTTACGATAAAGGTACACAACTTATTTTATGATTATTTATTAAGTTTAGAATGTTACTCATACGTTTATATCATTTTAGCGTCATTTTATGGGGCCAGTTACATTTCGTATCCACTTCAAGAAGCCAAAGGGGTAACAGACATTAACTTTAGGTTTAGAACACATTTATCAGATGCTTTATTGCTCCTTGCTGCTGGTAAAACTGATTACTGTATGGTAAGTTGTAAAACAGTTAGCAGAAACTTGTTTTATTTTATATTATTATCATTTCTTCTTCAATTTGTTAATTAACATTATTTCATTGGACATTATTTAGATCCGATTGGAAAGTGGAAGGTTAAAGTTACACATTAACTTGGGGGCTGGTGAAAGTGAACTATCATCTCCTAAAGGACTATATCTAAATGACTCACAGTGGCATCATGTTAATATCATAAGAAGAGAAGCCAATCTAACACTTAAGGTATGCTATAATGTATTGAACATAGATATGCAAGAATATTTTTTTTTCTAGTTTCCATTGAACACATCAAAATTGTATACTGAAAATACATAGAAAGTAATTTGCTAGAATCAAATACTTGACTCTATATAAAAATATTTCTTAATGTCTTTAATTAAAGAAAGAGTGAAAACAAGATTCTGCAGGTTAAGCAACCAACTTATTTTCACACATATGTAGTTGTGTTATTAATCTAATTAATCACCAATAGCATAATTATTAATCATTTTATCTGAAATTGCCATGTGGGAATAAACTTACTTCAATTTTGAATGTCTACTCAAAATAACTTTGTAACTTCCAACTTAAAACAAATATTGTTTTGTTGGAAATTGAAGCTTTAGGTTGTGAATATAACATATTTGTCTTTCATTCGGTCACTTTTATGTTTACTCTGACATAACAGAATAATTTTTTACCTATTGTTGAACTAATTAGTTACACAATTTTTCCATTACCTAATCAAAACACTAACCTCTGCAATATATGAAAAATGAGTATTCCCTTCCAAAAAAACGAGTATTTTTATACACAATTTTAAAACTACAGCTTGTAGATACAACTAATATGTGTTTAATAACTAATTAACTAATTTATATAATTTACATAAAATTAAGTTTTTTTTCTATTTGACTGAAATTTCCAATAACCAAACAGTGAGCCTGTGAAGTAATAAACTTTTAAAATACAATAATTAGTAGGTTTTAAATTTATATAATAATTATTATATTCGTTATTTCATAAAAATCTCACTTTTCAACAATTTGCCAGCTAGCAATTTCTGCAAACAATAAACATACATTATAACATCAAAGAACTTTGTGTCAAAGGCTTGCGACGCTCAAATTTTATTCGTATCGTAGCTCATATAGAAAATGAAACTATAAATGGATGTGACAAAGTCATTTTCTGAAATATTAAATTTATAACGGTACTTTTCGTTTAAATTTGTACTTAAATTGAATAGTCGTATATAGAGAGTAGTTAGTGTCTACCCGGCACAAAACGCTCGATAATCAATTTCTCAAAAACTTTATTATACTTCAACGAATTGATGTAAATGAGTCCTGAATATGAACCGCATAAGAATTTGCTATAATTTTATGCACGTAACATTTTTAATCGATAGCTGAGTTTTCGCTTCATGTGCAGATACAGAATCTTTAATAAAGATCCTATTAAAAACTTACAGTTATATCAATCTCTATAACATTACCGGTTTCGGTAATTTACTAGTTTAAATATTCAAAAATATACACATATTTTAAATATGCAATCTGCATGTAACTATTGCGACCTTTCGATATTTAATATGTTAAACGACTTTCTACAATATAAAAGAGTTTTTTTAGATACAAAAAGTTCATCAATTTTTTCTTTAATGGTTAGAAATAACTAACTGAATATCGTTGGCTTTATGCGCTTACTTTCAATAATGGTGAAGTTAAGGTTTGCAAGTTTTCTTAAAAGGCACGCCGCCGTACGTTGTTTACTTGATAAACGTATGTTGAGTCACGCAAGTGAAGCGTCTGATTATGCCATTGACATCGTTTATTATTTTTAGGTCGACGACAGTACAGTGAAGAAGAAGTTGCCAGGACGTTTCTTTGAACTAAATATTCATTTTGGTGTGTTTCTTGGTGGTCAAGGCGATTTTTCAGAGTTGTTCCTTGGTCATATGGAGAACTTTCGTGGGTGCATGGAAGACGTGAGTTTTCAGTTTAATCATAATTGTTATATTTTTTTAATGGAGATAATTTATAAAATTTTGTTTTTCTTAGGTATTTTATAATGGCGTTAAAATAATAGAAATGGCCCGAAGTCGCAGTGCATCTGTACACGTAGAAGGAGTTACTTGGAATTGTGCCCCTGAATTTGATGCAGATTTGAATTCCGATATAAGTTTTGTTGATGAAGGAGCGTATATGGTTTTACCTAAAATTAACTCTAGAGCGGGCAGCAGGTAATTAAATGCCAAATTTACTTCATACATTTTGATTTTATTAAACTTTTATTTATTTTAATCATACTTTGCTTTTAAAGTTGTCAGTAATCAATACTGTAAAAATAACAAGTGTGTTATTAGGGTAATCCAATTGGATTGATTCCTTAAAATGTCCTTTTGTTAACTTCTGTTACTCGCCACTATAATCAGTGGCAGATATGTAGAGATATATATCTCCCTCTTACTTGTGTAATACGAAAACTTTTATTTATTTATTAGGTGGCAAATTGAATTCAAAACGATAACACCCAACGCTGTTATTCTATATAATCCCGGTGGCGGACGAGGTTCAGATTTCTTGGCTGTAGAAATATTAGAAGGGGTTGTTCGAGTTAAAATGGCTCGAGGTCAGATAGCCCACACGGTCAGGGTCAACGATGGACAGTGGCACAAACTACATCTCTTGTTCAACCCCTCAATGATAGAGGTAAGAATTTTTAATTGATTTATCGTATAGCATTGCGACCTATTAATGATTTTTACAATAACTGGATTACGAAGCGACTGTAACTATGACATACAAAGTGATGGAAAAAAAAGTGGGTGAAATTTCCGTTACCGTGGTTTTGTCAATATTTATGCGATTTATATCCGGTGAAGAACTAATTGTTTAAGGTTGAAAAACACTAAGGGTGGTTATTTATTATTAAAAACATTTTCTGAAACAGTACGAATATAAGCATTGTTAACAAAAAACTGTATTATAAATATTTGGAACCGAAAACCGTCACTACTATAATGTTATACGTTTTTATAAACGTCATCTACACGTCATGTAAGTTTTCCAAATAGACCAGTCAGTCAAGACAATTAATTCATAATAATTCCAAAAGTTTTCAAATTTTGATGTAAGGTCGGGAGTGGTATTAAAACAAACTATAAAATTTTGCAACCTGCTCTGCGGTCCGGAACATTGTTAAAAATAAGTTTTGGTCGTGAAAAAAATTCCAAAAGTTCTGCAAACTTGGGGAAGTTTTCGATATAATATTTCATATCACGTATAAAATTTGCAACCAACCTAAGTGTACGGAACATTTTTTGTTATTAAAAATTAATGTTTTTCTTTATTAAACTGAAGGAAAACGTTCCAAAAGTTCTGCAAATTTGACAGATATATCGAAAATAAAATAAATAACAAAAAATGTTCCGTACACTTAGGTTGGTTGCAAATTTTATACGTGATATGAAATATTATATCGAAAACTTCCCCAAGTTTGCAGAACTTTTGGAATTTTTTTCACGACCATACAGCAAAAATTAATTTAATTGCAATTTTAACAATGTTCCGGACTGCGGACAAGGTTGCAAAATGAGATTTATTGTCGTCCCAATGTACCATTCACTTGACCGAAGTTTGAAAACTTTTGGAATTATTATCAAATTTTCGATTTCGAATGTCTATAATGACTGGCCTAAAAGCTTAAAGATGCTGGGAAGATATCATTTAAATATTTAGAACAGACTTTCAAATGGATTTACGCTCTACTTAAACACAATTCACAGACTTCAAACTAATACGGCTTTAAATGTCAGCTGGATGTCCGGATAATGTAAAATGCAGCTTTTGCCTTTAAAATCGTTGGTACGGAGATATCCCTGACTTTAAACCGCTATTGTCTACCTAGACTTCAACGTTTGATAGCAAGCTTGTGTGAAGATAGTTGGGCTGCAAAATTGCAACATTATAATGAAAACAGCTCTTTTGTTATAATGGCTTTCTGCTGGCGTAGTTTGGTATATACTTAATTACTGATAAAATTTCAAAAGTAATGTATAGATTTAACGAGTTCATAAACGCCCTTAAAATTGTTATTGAAGTCCATAACATCGTGTCACTTTGAAAGTAAACGTAGAACTAACTAATGAGGCTGTTAGTACGGGTATGAAACTTTTAAGTTTTGCATCGCATTTAAAATACCTAGTTTGCTGTGCAGTTCAGCGAATTCGCATATTTTATTGAATTGTTATTTTGGGTTACAATACAATAGTTAGCGTCAATTATATGTCGTGAAAAGCATAATTAATTTAATAATGATGTGTAACGTCAAAGGCGCCTGCAATGTGGTTAATTCTCTTTGTCTCTATTATTCTGCCCTAATGTATTGAAACCATTCAATTACAATCAGTTATGTAAATAATTGGTAATAATTGATGCGTGTCGATATTATAGTGAAATTTATTAAAATTTTCACAAAAGCTTGATTTAATTGCGCCGACGATATTCAAAGTATCGGTTTTCACAATGCGCGGAATGTAAAATATTTTTTTTACTACCAATGTAACTAGCAATCCCTCGAAACACAGGTTTATTTATTTGGAATATTTGTTCATACATTTCGTTTATTTGATCTAACACTGTAGGTTATTAAAACAAATATTGAATGTTTCGGTTATGATTTGAGTGCTATATACAGGGTTATTGCTAGTTCGACGTATTCCCGTTAGGAGGTGATAGGGGTGACTATTCCAATAATTTTAACTCAAGTTTTTGAGTTATCATGTTTTTAGCTTTTCTAAAAATACGCCAATATGCAACATCCATGCAAATTTGATTTAAAAAAGGATCAATTGAAATCTAATTATTTATCTTGATTTATAAAATCGATCAAAAACTGATTATCGGTTCAAATTTAAAATGCCACCTTCCGCCAATTGCCGCACGCCCTCCTCCACTTCACTAATTGTTAATTATGATTAATTGTTAATTGCTTTTAAATTAAACAGTTAGATGTTCTAAATCTAAAAAGCGTTGATAGAAAAATACCAGATCTTACATTAAAACATATTTAAAATTAAATATTAAGCGTAAAAGTTAAATGAATTCATTTGTACCAATGTCCTTACATTGTACTATTTAATACACTTTCGTAGAATTACGCTTCAGAGCAGTAATCCGTTGCCGTTATTAATTAAAAAACAATATTCCTTGAATTTTATATTCTAAAGGTTTTCACGTAAAATTGAGTAAAGTAATTTATTTTGCAATTTAGCAAGCAATTTATTTTCAAAATAATTACTTTTACTACTTTTTCATATAGCGTTTACTTTATGAAAGGCCACTGCCGATTTAAAATACATTTTAGCCAGTCAAATAATTGCATAAGCTTAAAGCTGCGGAATATGTCGTTCGAAATTATTATATTGAAAATGTCGGTAATCCTTTTTGGACTGAATGCACAGTTTTACCCTCTAGGCTTATTTTTTCCATTTCAACATTTAAAAATATTGATGAATTATTTTTTGTGAAATTGTTACATATTTTTTTAATAATTCGGACTTTTTATTTATCTTGCCTTCGTATAAAAACACAGCTTTGATCTGTTTTACGTTCATGGTTTAGTGGGTAGAGCGAAACGCGCTACTAGGAAGTTAGATTCCCAACCAATTTATGGTTTGGTTTGGTAGGTATATAAGCCTGATCATCAGCTTCCTTTGAACACCAATCAAACGGACAAAGATGGTGACTGCCCTTTTTTATCTTTAAACTTAGTAACTTTTAAAATTAGTAACTTTTTAAAGGGCCTATTGAAAGTTACCTATTTTTCTTGCTCGAACGTGGTGATAAAACTAATATCTACAACAGTAATGGTCCAGGTACCAGCTAGTATTTTTTTAAACCTCACGTTTAACCAGAATAACATTTACCTTATTATTTATGTTTATATATTTTATTCCCATTAACCAAAAGTAATTAAGAGAATAAGATGTTTATGCTTGAAAGGTTGACCTTTTCGCTAAATATAGACTTGTATCAGCTGAGCTTTTTAGTATTAGAGGTGTTTTCGCGGTACGAATTCAAATTGTATGCATATATTATTGCATTTGTTTTTTATTCAACTGTGAACGATAGTCTATTTTAATAATTATTGTTTTCAAGTAAGAACCTCCAGGTTGTACGTTTGCTTTATAGTCCATTGAAATGTTACAATTTGAGGGCCAAACTGATCACTTGTTAGAGGCATGAGGAGGTCCAGAAACTTGGGCTTAAGCTTGTATGGACCCCCCCCCCCTACATATTCCATAAATAAAATTCCGTCTAACAAATGTTCAGCAAATGTAACATTTCATTGGACTATTGTGTTAGTTTATTATGTGGTTGTGTTAGAGCTAATACGGCTTATAATGACGTATTGAGGTTGACATTTGCTTTGTACTGGTACCTACATGAAGGTTATGTATTTAAATCTTAAATCTTTAATCTATTTTATTTTACGATACTTTATTGGAAAGTAAAACCAATTTAATAATATGTATTTTAACGACATTTTCATTAAAATTCATATATTAATATTTCGAACAAAGGCTCCCTGGAAAGTATTGTTGCTTTTCGTTCGAACTACCAGGAATTTAATAATTATTAAATTCCTGAAACTTCGCAAACAGAAAATGTGTAATATATGAAACGGTCAGCTTTAAAACTTTACCTCAAAGCAAATGAAATCGTGTCGATTCGCTTTGATTGATCTATATCTATAGGGCATTTTTTATAAATGCGGTTTTGTCGAATGTGTCAATACTATTAAACAAACTTGGCGTGTTTCGAATGGTTGTTTGCTTTTCACAACTGAAATGCTTCTTTCATGTGAGCATATTGAAATTCGAATTGGAGGACTGAGAATTTGGAAGGTTTTTAATTTTCAAAAACATAGAATATTAAATTAATAAAATCTGTCAGCTCGGTAAACGTTGAAAGTCAACGGCGTTATACTTTTCGCAGCTTGTGTCTGTTATGCAAAATCTCCTATTCTATGAATATTTATAAACTCACTTTCAGATATGACATATAATATTTGCGTGCGTTAAATATACTTTGCTGATGTGCATTTTGCAAATTTTTTAAGAAACACTTAGTATAATATTTCCTTAATATACTGCATATATCTTGAAGCGATGAAGCGATGCGAAAAACTATAAATAAATATGCGAAATATGTATATTGTGAACGTAAAACTTTGTCAATAGTAGTTTATAGTCGACACCCATTATATTATTTCGCACTCAATATTTTTATTGCATTTATAAAAAAATACAAGAAAAATTTATATGATGGTGAAACATAAATCGGTTACATTCATAAGTTTTTTCAGTTATCAGTGGACAATGTAGCGATGAGTACTCGAATAGAAAGTGGGGGAACTAGATACTTAGATTTGTCGGACACCTTTTATTTGGGAGGTATCGAGACGGACAAACGACAAAGAGCGTTCTCTAAGGGAGTAAAAGCAGCTGATTCAAGTATAATGGTGAGAATTTAAAATATATCCTTAGATCATGTTAAGCTATGATGACGGAATTATATGTGAAATGTATATTTTAAATTTTCGCAACTGGAAATTAGCTATTAAACAACCTCGTACGTGGTTGGCTTATTTTTGTATAATCCAAAGGTGTAGCCGAAAACTTGCTGAGCAAAACAATTATGTTTCGAATTAGAAGCCCCAAAATCCCCTTCTTACGTATAAAGAAAATAATTAGGAAAACAAAAACGAAATTTCTGCCATAATAATAGGGAGAAAATCTTAGAAAAACCCATTTCAGGCAGAGCTATACTCGCGAAAATAGCCCAAGCCTTTTTAAGGCCTTACCTCACAAGTAGCGTCAAACATTGTTTTCGGGGAAAACTCTGCTTTACAATCGTAGTAGTTAAACCGAAGATTGTACTACTAATGTTTGCTTAAATCTAAAAACCGAACTTGGGCGCTGTTCAAGTAATGAAATAAGTTTTAGTTTTCGCTAAAACAAGTTAATTTCCAGGGTTGCATCAAGCCCATTGAAGTTGAAGACAAAATATTTGGTCTCCCAAACGCAGTGGTAACTTGTGGGGTGACACCAAAATGTGTTTGGTGGTATCCCTGCCACTCGAGTCCCAGTCCACCTTGCGTGCCTAAAGCTATATGTGGACAACATGGTGTTGATCATTTTACTTGCAAATGTGATAATGAATTGTGTATCAACCCGGATTACGCTGAAAAATATAAGGTAATGAATCTGTTGGTGAGTCTATTGTATCAAGAGTGCTTGAAAGTACTAACTAATGTTTAGGTTTTGCTGTCGAAGGCTAGCTATTTATTATGATGCCCGATGAATACTAGCTAGTGCAGTGCACGAAAACATCGTGAGCATATCTTTAACAAAAAAGTCGACAGAGTATCAGACAAAGAAAGCTTATTAAGAAATAATATTAATTAAAGGAAAATATTTCATGCCCCATTAGAAGGCATGTTTAGAGTCGCCATAAAATATCACTTAATACGTGAATCGTGATCTGTGAATCAAAAGTAGTCCTTTGTTCATTACAAAGGAGACGAATTGCGTTCCGTTCGGTTTTAATTAATCAACAATATCTAAAGTCCAATACGCATTGACATCATGCGTCATATATTTATATACAGCGTAAATACGCCAAATTTTATCGATAAATATAAAAGTTTTTTTAAAATTATACAATTACCAGAAAGTTTTCTAAACAATCTTTTCGAGGTACGTTTTTAAATCATAGTTTGTTACCCTCATATGCTTCACAACTAAGTCAGTGTCCGGCGAAAAGTCGCGAAAACTATTATTGTACGAGTAGAATACGGCAGACATACGGCAACAAGGTTGTGTTGGCGGTAGTCATATTACGTCCGCTTGACCATCAGTCCAACGAATGTTGGTCTTGCGTCTTTCGTTTCACTCTCGCCCCGTCACTCTCTGAAAGCATAAAATTAAGTTTCTATATATAAGTTCTTACAAACCGCATTTTCAGGTGTTCTCGAAATCGAGCAGTGAACTGGAACTCGTCGCTTTATACCCTTTAACTGTCCAAGAAGGGGGAGTTACAGTAATAACGACACAGAATATAGACGTTATTCTGGATCATCATAAATATGGAGTTCGACCTTCGGGCGTATTGTTACACGTAGCACAAAAACCTCAACATGGAAGAATAGCGGTCGACTTAACATCGCAAAGAATATCGCAATATACAAACTATATTGAAGGCGACAAGTCTAAACAGTACTTTTCATTGTTGGATTTGTCGAGAGATAAGGTCATTTTATATTATTTTTAATTTTATATTATTCCTGTATAACTACATCATTTAATAAAATCGTCGAGTGTCAGCATTCTAGGCTAATTGAGAGTCATTTATTAATAAAAAATACTATATACTAATACTAGTGAAGAACTATTTATTTGCATAGTAATAAAATCTTATAAAGAGTTGTAAATATAGCATATTGCAATACACTGAAGATTAAAACGAAATAAATAGTCGTTCCCTAGTATTTTTTATTTATATATACAGTCATAGGGAAGTCTTAATTGTGTTCTATTAATGCCTCACTAGTGCTACCATCCATGGTCCCGACCTTGCAGCGCAGATTTAATATATTTAGTCAAATCACCTATCCTTATAACCAATGAGATGGTCGAAAATTATATAATATTTGCATATTTCAGGTTAGATACGTGCATGATGGTTCAGAAAATCACCAAGACGCGATAGTTCTAGAGATGGAACTTATCCCCGAAACTAAATTCACATTGCCTAGTTATCTTCAAGGACGTAATACTTTTGTTCTTCACGTTAATATAACTCCTGTCAATGATCCACCAGTACTCAATTTGCTTCCCGGAAAGGTTTTAAGACTAACTCAGGTAGGAGATGACATTTTATTTCGTCGACTTTTTATCTGTTTTATATTGTAACTTTTTATTCAAATTAATTTGGCTTCTTTGTTTCTCATTTTCAAGTCACACAACATATTTTTCTATTTAAGTTTGTGACGACAAAGTTTTGATAAAATTTTGAATTCTTTAAGAAAATATCTTTTGTTCTATACACACTTTTTGTATAGACACACTCATCGTTAATAATGTTGTAGTTTAAAGTTTAATAAAGTTACTAATATTAACAAATATATCACACCTATAAATTAAAACAATTTATTAGAAGAAAATCAGTATTGCGCTGCTGAAGCACTGATTTGTCTCACTTATTAACGTACTTTAATAACCCAATTGCACTAAAATCAATGTACTATGTACACGCATGTTGCATTTAACTATTTACATCAAGGAATGTATAATTCTAAGCAAAACCATATTTATATATATTTGGTTTGTTTATTTCAGAGTGTTCGATGTGCTTCAATTAATTTGTATCAGTTGCTTTTGAGTAGTTGCATGTTTTGATTTGGCACGAGACATCAATGATAGTGCAGTGAGTATGATTACTAAAACATTAGACGGTAAAGGGAGAAACCAGTTCAATGTTTAAAATAGAAATTAATCTTTTATCTATATACGTAAGACTATAGTAAGTAAGTAGATCTACAGAGTAAGGAGATCTAACGTTCAATTCTTGCGCACGGTCGATTGGTTGGTGTGATAACTAAACCATACCCAGCACACAGACAACTAAATAACAGCTATAAATTACTACTATATATATAAATTCTATATTCTATATATATTTATTTGATAGAATAGACCACAATCCATAATTATTACTTTTTACATAAAAAGAGGCAGTGCACTTTTTTATATTAAAATTAATTTTTAGTTTAATGTCAAATAAATTCAGCGCTATAAACGGTAATAACCAGTACTGTACGGTTTTAAGTAGTATATTGGATTCTCCCTTTAGTAGTTAAAATTAATAACATAATACGCGACCCTTTAGTGATACATTCGCGTTGAATATAAATAAGCCTTATAATTTTTACAAAGTATTCCTCGTCAACAATCCTACCTAAATCACAAGATTAAACTGTTTCATAACTTGGCCATTAACCCGGCTTTTATACTCTTACTTATGGTCATTTTTATAAATGTTATTGTACAAATGATTCTTTGGGTACAATGAGGATTATCATACATTTACGACTGATAGTATTTGCAGACCGTTTCTGTAGAATAAACTACGACCTGTAGTAAATGCTCACAGTTAATTGGGTAAAGAAACAGGACAGTTAGGAGTAATTGCGTAATATAATTGCAAACTAAAACTATACCTAAAAGCATGACTGCAAATATACAATTTTACATTATATCTTATCTAATATTTGATACGTGGGTAACACTGAAAATTTTACAACTCTTTGGTAACCTAACGTAGTATATTTCATTCATTGATCATTTGTTTTTGTGAATTGGCGTGGCGTGAATTTCACGTGAAAATGAACCATTTATTATGACTTTCGTTGTGGGCTTACTCAACAATAATTCGAGGTATTCGCTTTACGAGCCCTGAAGATGCGGTGAAAGCGTACGAAAATGCCATAGAAGAGACCTCTAAGGTAGAATGGGCCCACTGCTTTTCTCAGGGGTTCCATCGAATGCGACGGAGTGTAGAGAGGAACGGAGATTACTTCGAAAAACAAAAAAAGTATTGGCAACTTACTACATTAAGCCGTTTTTCATTTTCAAACCATTTTCAGTGTTACCTAGGTATAGTCGTGTGGATAGTGAAGATTAAAGCTTATTTAAGAATGCGGCTGGTCTGTCATGTCTAGATACTCGGCCTTGTTTGATTTATGTATATTTTTACTAGGGTAGGCCGTTCATTAAAATTTTAATTATTATTCACTGTTAATTATTATACATTTGGTTTTGTATTTTTAATATATTTGACTACCTACATGAATAAAAGTAAATCGTATTGAAATTCAATTCGCAAGTAATTGGCAATTTAAAATTATATACTAGATATAGGAAAAGGTTCTCACGTAGACGCACATGACAAATTTTAATTATATCGTTGTGGTAAGTAAAGAAAGATAAAATGATGATTTTTATAATAACGTACCATTTTATTACATACTAATACTTGGCACCTTATCATAATAGATACGTAAATGCACAGTTACCGTTTTTACAGGGTACGAGAAAAGTTATAACTTCGGAAATATTAAAAGCTGAAGATCCCGACACACCACCTGTAGACTTATTATATACTATTATTCACGGAAAAAGCGAATCGAGCAGGTAATATATATGTGGTAATAATTATGAAAACAAAAATACTGCATTTAATGCTTTTGCGTGAAAGTCGCATTGTTTGCGAAAATTGTCACTTTATAATCTGTTTTTATTTTTTTATTGGACAATTCACACCAATTGACCTAGTCCCATGTTAAGCTGGTGAAGCTTGTGTTATGGGTACTAGGCAACGGATATACATACATATTGTATATAGATAGACATATAAATACATATTTAAACACCCAAGATCTACACAACACCAAATGCTCATCACATCGATGTTTGTCTCAGCCGGGGATCGAACCCGGGACCCATGGATTCGCAGTCAGGGGTACTAACCACTAGACCAATGAGCCGTCCGACGTTTTAATTACAACAATCCTATAGCCAGTAATATAATATAGGTTAGGAGGTCCTAGGTACCGAAAAAAATTGTTTTGACTGAAACAAATCCATTTGGGAGTCAAGTGTCGTTGTTCTATTTATGAGTTTGTTTTTAGTGGTCACATAGAAATGTCTGGACAGCCGGTGGATTCCTTTACACAGCAAGATATAGATTCGGGCATCATTTCCTTTGTCCACGGGACGACGAGCGATAAACAACTCAACAAAACCTCTCTTCGACTGACCTTACAGGTATTATTAAAAACAAAATCGGTTATATCTTAGTAATGTAATATAAATTATAAATTTGTACTGAGTTACGTGTTTTTTGGAATTTGACAAGTTTTGAGGATCCCAAGTGCGAATCTATACTTATGTATGTTCACAAATTTTGTCTGTAACTAAAACACTACTAAAAGTTATATCTAGACGACCTTATATTTCGACTTAGAACACACATCAACATCTGTTCAGAAGTTTGTGGTATTGTATTAACGCATTTCTTTAAGGTACTTATAATATACATAGAACCTAGGTCGATTTATTTTTTGAAATTACTTTTATAGGTATCCGATGGAATCGAAACGAGTGGCCCAGGCGTTCTCCGAATATCAATTGTGCCTTTACAAGTAAGGCTTATTAACAACACGGGACTGCAATTAGTTCATAATTCGTATGCAATAATAAGTGCTGATAATCTCACATTTACCACAAACGCTGACGAAACGAATGTGCAAGTAAAGTGAGTGTTATATATATTTATTTAGCATTCTCTACCTGAAATTTTAATTTCGTCAGTAATTGAACTATGGAATCAGGTTTGTCCGTTAACAAGTAAATGCGATCCGATTTATTATTCTTTGTAAGTCATTTTGATTCCATTTTCCTATAGATATGGGATGTCTGTTTTATGCTAATTTATTATATAATAAATAATAAAATAAAAAGCCTTAATTGCTGTTTGCATGCTAAATATAAATTAAATATGCCTAAAGTTATATAATATTTAATATCTAACGGCAAACGGTTATTTATTTATTTACAGCGTACCTTCGGCAAAGATCTCTAAATTTATCCAATCTTGGCATCTCTAGCCGTTTGAATCCACTTTGGACCCGTTCCTTTTTTATATTCCTCCCATCTTCTTATCTGCTTGCCTTTCTTTCGTTTACCACTTCGTGGGTTCTTCTTCTTTTCTCTCATTTTCTCTTCTCCATTCTAGTTTTCGGTATTGGTGTATGCGACTTACAATTTTGTTTTTATTTTAATATTGCTTTATTTTATTTTATCTTTCCACTTTACTCCTGTTTTTACCATACTGTTTATATAAATATTATAAATAATTAAATAAATATATTATAATAATTAAATACCTTTTCAGATACGACATAGTGAAGCCGCCTCAATTTGGCGTTGTCGAACGACTAAGAGTATTGGACGGGACATGGCAAACCGTCGATTCATTTACAAGTGAAATGGTAATGTTTGGGCGAGTGAGATATATGCATCTCTTGGGAAGCCCTACTCATGATGAATTTAAGGTATGTTTTTAATAAGTAATAATCTAGCTAACGTCTTACGTTTTAAAGTTTAAAAAAATCTATTGTTTTTATAGTTTTTCAATAATAAATATCTTATACTTGGAACAATATATAAAAAAATACATTTATTAATATACATTATTTACATATATCGAGTTGTTTTCAAAGAGAGATTGCTTTAATAATAATTTGTTATGACTTTTCAGTTTAAAGCCTCAGTTGGATCTATACGAACGAACACATTATACGATTTTCGATTGACTTTTATTAAACTCGAACTATATCAAACGACAAACGAGGAATTACTTCTCAATAACACCCGGGAAGCATTTATATCTTCACAGCATTTGAGATTCCGAACAAGACCGCTTTCATTGTCCGGAGATAGAATCACCTTCACATTATTAAAACCACCCAAATATGGGATTCTGCATTTGTCTTCTGGCACACATCATCTACAAATATATAGTACTTTTACACAACAAAATATTAACAGTGATCAGTTATGGTATAGGCTTCACAGGCGAGCCTATTCCCATATACAGGATGAATTCACTTTTATGGTAGGAGCGGCTGAGTGTGAAAATATCACAGGTGTTATGACGATACGGCACATTCCAGGCCCATCACCTTCCGATCGCACTGGAAGGTTCCACACGACTCTAGAAAGATTACAAGTCATGGAAGGATCTAGAATGGCGATACCCGCCACTCATCTCAATTTCCGAACTGATTCCATTACAAATCTCGTGTTTAACATAACTCATCTTCCGAAACACGGTAAAATAGAAGTTATCAGTGAAAACTTGAAGATACTTAGAGATAACACAACGTATTTTACGTTAGTGGAACTAAATGCGGATAGAGTTTACTATGCACACGATGATTCCGAGAGTCGACATGATTCGTTCCACTTCATGGCTTTAAGTCCCGAACCGGAAGACTTTCAATATGTTGGAGTGTTTCATATTGATATCATTTTAAAGAATGATAACAGTCCAGTAAGAATGAATGAGAATGTGTTCCATATAGTTCACGGGGGAGCGCGGTTAATAACATCGCGTGACTTGAGTTACGCTGACTCAGATCTAGATACAAAGCTATCAGATATAACCTATACGGTTCAAAGGTTTACTAAAGACCCGCCGAACGGTGGTGTGTTCAGGGCCGACAACCCCTCTGAACAAATAGCGCAGTTCACGCAAGATGACATAAATAAAAATCTCATCTTATTCAAGCATCAGGGGAAAGAGAATGGGAAGCTGACGTTTTGGGTGTCCGATGGTTTGTTTGATGTCAATGGTAATTTAGAAGTGCAAGCGTCACCGCCATTTATAAGGATGTTCCCTTCGAATGGGTCGATTGTTGAAAATGGCAAGGCAGTTGTTATTTCTACTAGAGATATGGAAGTAAGTACTATCTGATATAGATGTGCGGTACAACTGACATATATAAGTATTTAAGCATAATGGAACCAAAAAAAAATACTTTGTAATATTGGTAATTGAAGGTAAACTGTAAATGTTTACCAAAATATATTTTTTAATGTTAAAACACAACAAACGCAACAAATACAAGTGTAAAATACAAAATTATTTTAAATTCCTGAAGTTGTTAGAGTAACGAGGAAATTAAATACTATTTTAGGTGGACACAAATATGAATTGCTTGGAAGAGGACATTCGTTATGAAATAATTCAACAGCCGAAACATGGGTCTATAGAAGTTGGCGAAGGACAGGGAGCTATAACATTTACACAACTGGACGTGGCAGCTGGTAGAGTATCTTACAGGCACAGAGAACCCAAAATGCCCACAGATGCGTTTAGGTCTGTATTTCGTCTACAAATAACGTGCCTAGATTTTAGCCCGAAGATTTTAACACAGTACTTATGCTATGCTGGCTTTGTCCAATTAGTAATTTATTCGTATAAAACGCACGTCTCTCAGAGATTTTTATAGAAAAATCAGCTACTCGTTACACTTACGAGTAGTATTGTGAATGCCTGACTGTTAGTTGTGGCTGTTTTAAAATAATGATTTATAATTTGTTAGCTTTAATAATACTAAAATAAATGATTCTGAAAATTTGTTCCTAAACATAAAATTCTATTTTTTTATTTAAAAGAAGGATTAATCACTATCAAATGCTAGTTTCTGCTATGTGATAAAATATTCACGCTGCAATATACTAAAAGAAATGTATGTAAAAGGGCTTAGCCTAATTTTAACGTCCTATTTTTAGATTTAAGGTTATGTGCCTGGAAGCATGGGGAGAAGGTATTTACCCGATAAAAATATACCCTTCAAGCTATTGGGAACCATTACAAGTATTGATGATTCGACCGTTAGTGGTTGAAGAATCGACAAGCGTGAATATAACAAGAGACATTTTGGAGGTTTGTATTGTAAAGCATAAACCGTCTTATAGGTATGTTATTTAAAGCTGGCGGCTTCAACACATTTACACTTTGTGCTTGTGTATTGTCTGTGAATAAGCGCGAGGCGTGATGTCAAACTGAAATACAATCACAAATACATCATGAAAAGACTGTCCGTCTCTCTCTCGCGCTCGGTCAAGCTTATGAGTATAAAAGAGACAGTTATTGTTTTGCTTTTGCTACTGTTTATGTTGATCTTTACTATACATGTTGATCTTTTTTCAAACATTACCAGGGCAATCTCGTGAAATGGTGCACAATGTTTTTAATTATTTTAAGCATCTTAATAAAAACAGTTTAATGAAAAAAATGTTATATTTCATTTGACATCAGATGCAGAAAGCTGAAAGCTGATTTGATTTTTTTTTGATTTGTTGAAAGCTGGGTTCACCACCATACTCCTAAATCAAAGCAACAGTCCAAACAATGGAAAATATCTGGATCACCTACTCCGAAAACGGCTAAGGTCGTTTTGTCGACCAACAAAGTAGCCATGACTTGCCTGGAGCGTATGTCGAAAAATGAAAAATTATTTACACGAACTACTCTTTCACGTTCTTGGTCTGGCTTAGAACTTTTGGATCCACCCTCGTATGCACCTAATATTTATATGTATTTGACACATTTTTATTTATTTACAACCCACCCAACCTTACTAAAACCAGAGTGGACTAAAATATATAGCTTGGCAAAAAAATCATATTTTGAAACATACTGTATGTGAAATTGCATTATTGTGAGTACTGTGAACCCGCCAGCTTTCGATAACCGACCTATACCTAAGTCAAGTCACCATTTTTTAATGCAAAAGTTAACGAGAGTGACAAGGACAAAACATCCATTGCTATTTAAGGCTTATAGACATTTATAAATGGGCAAGGTGTTATAGGGAAACATTAGTATGTTATATTATTATTATATTTGTATTATAGTTACTTGTCACTTTGTTAAATAATGTTTGCTACTTACGAACTATAATAAGTTTTATGAATAAACATTCCTAGCAATTTGAAGCTTATAGGACGTTTTTGAATGTGGAAGGTCTTATACCTACATACTGTTATTGTTAATTATTTCAATAGTATTTAGTCACAATTAGCAAATATCATGAGTCATAAAAATTATCACGTTAATAAATAAAATCTAAAGTTTTTAATACGAATCAGTTCTATAAAGGTCGCAATAAATCTTAGTTTAGTAAAATTATGTGTAAACAATAACTCCATTTCAGGTAATGCATCCTCAAATTGAACCATCAAACATAGTTTACAAGGTCTCGGAAGGACCGTACTACGGCTGGCTTGAGGTTACAAACACACCAAACAGTCTCGAACTCGAAAACTACGAAGAGCCCATACACTCAACTATGTTCGACCAGTCTATTATAAACGCGAACCGACTGGTCTATGTACAGTCCGGCGTAAACCGAACACGGGACAAAATCAAAATGGACGTCACCAACGGAATCGTTTGGCTCAAGTCTTTGGAATTGATGGTCGTAATAATTCCAGAACATTTCTATGTAATGGCGACAAATATAAGTGTCGTGGAGGGGGCTGTTGTTAGTATTAAACAGGATATGTTCAAGACGGTCACTGAGTATTATAAAGGGAAGGTTGTGTCGTATAAAGTGGTTGAGAAACCTAAATTCGGAAAGATCGATTTGGGCGATCAAGAGCTGACTTTGCTTCCGGTTTTGAAACTTAATACTGGGAATATACAGGTAATATTTATATCAAAGTTTTTATGAAATATTTAATGACGTGTTTTATTGATCAGATATTTCCGAAATCGAAGTCTTCTAAGCTACAGCCACTTTTGGATGTGTATGATAAAATATTTCTTGATTAGAAAATTAAATTGATTAAATTGGAAATTTTTGGAATCCCAAATGGGCACAACGCATTTCCTAGTCGGTTTTTTGATAACATTCTAAGACATCCGTTGATAAGTTTAGCCTCGAGAACCCAGAGTACTGCCCATTCGATAACCACGCTGGTAGTGAATATATGAACAAAAAGATCTTTGTAAAATATTATTCTTTCCGTCTAAAATTAATATTAAAAAAACTAAGTCTGATTATATCTATCCATACCAAAACATCTTACTATTAAGCAGATATATTTTAACAAATTTTTATGTAAATTAATTGTAATACAGTATGTGAACGATGGGTCAGAAGAATCGTTGGATTCAATGAAATTGGTGGCAATCACTGAGAACGGAAAGGAAAGTGAAGTTTTCCGTGTTATGATCAACATAGTTCCCGTTAACGATGAAACTCCTATAGTGGCTGCCAACACTGGTCTTTGTGTGTGGGAAGGCGGCACTTTCACCTTCACAAGAAATGAGTTATGTGAGTATGATATCTGATATATAAAATTCTCGTGTCGCGGTGTTTGAGGTTAAACTCCTCCGAAACGGCTTGACCGATTCTCATGAAATTTTGTGTGCATATTGGGTATGTCTGAGAATCGGACAACATCTATTTTTCATCCCCCCTAAATGTTAAGGGTGGTCCACCCCTAAATTTATTTTTTATTTTTTAGACAAAATATTTTGTTTTTATTTTTTTATGATACAGCATACAAAAATACACACAACCCATAATTATCACTCTACGATCAACCCCTATTTTTATTTATTAAAAAAAAATTTCACTTGGTTTATATAGAGGAAAATTCACAGAAAAACCTAAAAAGTTTGGATTCCAGAAAACCTCTGGGGTAGTGAAAAGTCTCTGGGGTAGCATAGCAAAATGTTCCATGTTGATATGTATTAAAAAGGTAGGCTAAGTAAAATCACATTAAGGAGAAACGAAGTTCGCGGGGTCAGCTAGTATATATATAAATCTCTTTTATACATAATCTTGTATTGCGTTGTATTTTACTTGACTTAAATAAATGTATCTGTATGTATATGTGTGGTATTATATTTGAGTATGTAGATATATTATAATTATAGGCTTAGGGAATAGTCAAATTATTCAGTAATTTTTGAGATATGTTATAAATTTCTTTAATTATCACACTGAGGACGGATTCCAAAACGTCAAAATTCATGAAAAAAACAATCCTTAACGTATTTTGTACTACTGTTTATATTTTATATGAAAAATTTAAGTGAGTATATTATTTTCTCGAACTCGTAGATTAATAGCAATTATTATTTTTCAGATGTAAACGATGTCGACACGCCATTAGAGAACGTAACGATTCGTGTTGTCGACATTGTATCGGGTTATATTGCGATACGGGGTAACCTCGAAACTCCTGTCTATCACTTCACACAGGGTGATATAGACAGTCGTAAAGTCATTTTTGTTCATACAAGTAAGTAATGTTACTATTCTTGTACAATCCGGTTACACCCCTAATGGATAGTCGAAATCTTTTCCTGACTGATTGATAGGAATGTAGGTGATCAGCCTTCTCTATTGAGTTATCCAAAATAAATGTGTAGTTGCGGGGAATTGAACCTACAAATTATACGCTAATATTAAACTGTACTACTATATGTAATCTAAAGAAATAGTTTTAGAGCTACAACGATTTCTACCAAATAGTACCATTTTGTTTTTTAGATGGAACGAAAGGAAAAATGATATTCAACGTAACTGATGGCCTTCATGAGTTATCAAAAATAACTTTTCTTATAACAACCAAGTCGGTGTCTCTCAAATTGGCTAGGAAACACACATTACGAGTGTTTCCTTTGATGAGAGAACCACTCAATAACTATCATTTAATGGCGAAGTGCTCTGACGCATCGAGAAATATTATATACAAAATAGACAGAGCCCCAACTCTAGGCAGGCTTATAATGTTGAACGGTGATAATCACCACAGATCTATTAAACAATTTACACAACAAGATATTAATAATACTTTAGTATATTATGAGCACACGCATCCGTTCTCTACTTTATTTACAAATGATTCCTTCATTTTTTCCGTTGAAGCGGCACTAGCCCAACCAGTGACCGATCAAGTTTTTAACATAGATATATCTGTGTCTTCCGGCGGTCTAGCTAAATACGTTTACATACCGCAATTAAAAGTACAGGAAGGGGGAAATGTTGCCATCGTTGTTAATGTGACAAATGTTATTATGTACCTAGAGAATCAAGCCGGGTTAAGGCAACCCCAAATTGAAGCGCAGTGGTCCCAACCTACGCATGGAATATTGGAACCGTCACTATCTTCACTCACACAAACTCAATTGGAATCTGGTGTGGTCACATACAAACATGACGATTCGGACACATTAAAAGACAAAATAGATATGACTTTGTACTTATTGCCTGACTATGTACTTCTTTGTAATGTGACTATACCAATACATGTGCTACCTCTTAATGACCAACCGTTTAGATTATTAACGGACTCACCACAAATACAAGTGGTTCATGGAGAAAATTATACTATTACTAAAAGCGATTTGCTAACTGAAGATGCTGATACTGTTCCGTCGGGAATACTGTATGACATCATAAGTGGACCAACACAAGGGAGAATAGTTATGCTCGATAAAAATCAAAGTATAGATGAAGCACAGTCTATCAACAAATTTACACAAGAAGATATTAATACTGGTAAAATCATATACGAACATTCCGGGATGTTACAAACAGCAACGTTCTATTTCAGAGTATGGGATGGGGAATTCAAACCAACGTATACCGTGTTTACAATTGACGTCATTCCTGTTATTTTGAATGCGACGTCATCTCATCCGATATATTTACAACAAGGTTCCAATGTTGCAACTGTATCCACAGATCAAATTTACATAGAAACGAACGCACTGAAATCTAAAGTATGGTACAATATCACGAGGCAGCCTGTACACGGAATGATTTATGTTGGCCGGAATCCAGTTACCTACTTCTCACAAAAAGATCTAATAGATAAAGTTGTTATTTACATGCAAAATGATATGACAGTCGCCAATGATAGTTTTGAACTTATCTCTTATGTTCATAATAGCAATTCGACTCCGCCTTTTACTATACACGTTACAGTACAGCCATTAATGATCTTAAGTGATCTGAAAGTAGAGAAAGAAAAGACAAAACTGACAGTTAAGAATCTGGATGCGTCAGAACTTGCGAAGCTCACAGCGAGCGACCCAGTGTATACGTTGATTAAGAAGCCAAAATATGGGGTGATTAAGAAAATAATACGAAGTTCAGGCGAAAAAACTAGTGCAAGAGAAAGAGAGGTTGCATATTTTACACATGAAGATGTGAAGGCTGGTGTTATTTATTATGTCACTAAGAAGAAAGCTTATGAATTGAATGGACTTGAAGATAGGTTTCATTTCCTACTGGCAGCGACTATATTCCAACCAGCTGCGGGGGAATTAAGGATGTTTATTGGCAATGGTCTGAAGAAGAATTTGCTTGGCCCTAATGACCCAGAGAGCCATGAGGGAGTACCGGTAAGATTATTATTTAAAATTATATTCAATTGGTATTTGTGTTTTAATATTTTGAATTAATTAAATTGATAATGCATAGGAATATATACCAACTCTACCTAAAAGAATTAGATCCATGGTAGAAATAAATAAAAATAAATAATTTCAGGTGGCTAACGGAAATTCCGGCTCATACTACTTAATGATATTAATGGCACTCCTTGGAGTACTTCTTGCAATAATAGTCATATTTGGTATATTGAAATGTCGAAGATATCTGATGCGTGATCAGAATGCCTTAGTGAAAATTCATGGACAAAGTCAGGGGGCAGTAGCTCCTATACCATTACCGCGACCGCCAGATCATCTGATGCCGTCGCCGACTCAAGCGACACCACCAATTAAAAGGTATATTTATTGTCAAATGTATATTATTATTATTTTGTTTCTATCTATGGTTTTGATAATTAAGTATTACCTATACTATAGGTAACGTTTTATAATCCCCTTATTAAGTCATGGTCATGGTTGGTTTTTTTTAAATAAAAAACAGTACTTATTTATTTTATTTATGTAGCCAACATAAAAACTACAAAACCAATGTAGATTAATTAGCAAAGAATTGCCATGAACGGTATTACCTTGTAAAATATAATACTTATAAATATTGGTGTGTCTGCGCGTACATATATGTGTTCATGCGTGACACACATGTATGTGAGAGTATGTGTGACTATTTACTTAATATATTATTTTGTATGTCATTTTTGTTGGAGACTTTTGTTTTATTAAAAATGTAAAACTGAGAAAATAAATCATTATACTGGGCACAAAACCTATTCATGGGGCGTTACGAGAAACGTTATTTTAATTTGTTTTTTATAATAATAATAATAAATCAAATAAATTTTTAAATAATTTATTTTAAAATATTTAAAAATTAAATATAATTAAGGCTTCATAAAATTGGCGTGTAAAACAATTGAAAATCTGGGTTTGTTAGATCAACCTGCCTTAAAAACGATCATTAGAAGAGACGCAAAAATTTATTTACTATTTGAAGGGTAATGTAAAAGAGCCTAGGTTTATATTACCTAGAATTTCCTTCTTAATACTTTAAAACTTGATGTTTTCCTTCAGATACGTATCGTCCGAACAATCGGTTCAAACTGGTGCCAGTACGCCGTTACCTTCGGGTGGTAGTGTAGCGTGCAAGGTCACACAATTAGCGGATGCGGCCATACCAGATCTTAACGCTAGGTACCCGTATGGTACCGATGATCATACTGACGTAAGTTTTTTGATAATATTTAATTTAGCCAACTAACTTTACTGCCATATTTAAAAAAAGTACTTCGGATTATTTAACGTCGGTTTAAAAAATAATGTATCAAAATTTGTTGACCGTTACCCGACTCATCCGTGATTAAACACTTTCGACATATTGATTTTATTTGAAAATACATTTTTAATTATTCACAATCATTGTATGTGATTGTAAATTCTAATGTCAACTGTCATCTGTCAAATGGCATTAATCTATCAATAATTTTTACCTTTCATTACTCTAATCATCGCGGCACAGCTAGACTCTCGTAGCTATGTATATTAAGTATTGAATCACTTAGGGGCAGTGCCTAAAAGTTTAATTTAAAAAGTTTCTTCATTCTTTATTTATACAAATTTGTTATTAAGAAACTTATGTAGGCATAATTATTTATCATGATTAAAGAAATTGGTTTTATTAATACAACTTTCATGATCATCAAAAAGTCGTTAATGAGAATACTCGGTCGGTACTCATACATTTCGAATAATAAAAGCCTTTTATTTCTTTAATATTGACGCTCATAAGTTACCGATATGGATTTTGATTATTATTTTTATTATATTATTTTTGTTTTTTTTTTCAAACTACAATACATGCCTGATAATAAGGCGGAGGATTGGAGTAGCTACGAAGCGAGTGAGTCAGCGTACCCAATTAGAACTCCGGGAGGAGCGCCTTCAAACCCGATGTTGAGACGCAACCAATACTGGGTCTGACCCCGGGATACACAGTCCTTGCCGAGACTGCCAAAGCCAGGTAAAAATTAATTAATAGCCACACATACACTGTTTTGTCTTATTTATTTATTAAGTTGTATATAAAAATATCAGCCTTATTCACTGTTTAAAAGTACTATTTTGTCTCATTATTCAAATTTTCTTAGCCCAATGATGAAAATAAACAGTTTTCATTAAATCAGTTTAATGAAGAAAAAAATTAAGTCTTTATAAGGTTATTAAAATATCACGATATCTAGCAGAGCGTGGTTTATAGATTTAATTGAAAAAAAATCTAATTATATTTATTAATTTAATATATTATTTTGCTTGATATGAGAGAGACCACCCACGGACACAGTGCGACCTTGCCTGATAGTACTGCTATGCATACATATGTAAGACAATATTAAATTGTTATTAAATATTGCTACACAATAAATGGAACTAGGAAGTCATAGGCTCCTGAAATACGTATACAGTTCTTACTCCATCTGGAACACAAGATGTCTATGTAATCAACTAATGGTAATATTTTTTTTTATTTCAGTGACGATACAGTTTGAAGACGAAGTGTCCGTCACATTAAATCATAACTTGCAGTCTCGGCGTGGCGTAGAATTAGTTCCTACACCTTTTCTACTTAGCGATTACAACGTATCAAAATACACAAGCTGTGAATTTACTCTCTGAACACGGTTCTAATTTTTTAGTTTACTTACTTACTGTCAAAGTGTCAAAAATTGTGCCAAGGACAACAGTATTTTGTTATATAGGAAAATTGTTTGTGGTATGGGTGTTGTGTAGCTTATGGAAGTTAGCTGCCTTAACGCATGATTGTGTATTGTCTATGGTTTTATGGGGCTGTCCATTTAACTTTGATTGTATACAATTAATGTGAATTAATAGTGGCAAACAGAAAAGATAATTCGGATGCATTATCGCCATTTTACGTTTTCTGTATTAAGCGTTATCGCTATACAACTGTATTATTTGGTTTAAGATCTTTATAAGTGTTTAAAACCTACTAAAACATAATAATTGTAAAAGATTGGGTATTTGTTACTCAATCAAGGCTGAATGTAAGATGTATATCACTTGTTGTTAGTATATATTTCAATCGAATAAAATACGCGTGAGGACTTAATTCCAACCAGATAGTAAATTTGATAAAAAATATGCTTGGACTGTTCCCACTAAAATGACCAAAGATATCCATTTATTATGTGCAACATGGTCGTTAAGATATTCAATTTAAGACATGCAATAAATTTCCACTTGAAAATTTTAATTTTATAGAATTTTCCAAAAATAAAAATAAACTGCATATATTTGTTTCGATATTTTATGTTATGTTAAAATAGTTTAGAATAGTGTGAAATTTTTATACTTATTAATTATTTTTACATTCAACTTTATTCAGTTCAGGTAATTGTAAATTTTTATGTATCTTGTAAAGCTGTTCCGATTGCCTTAAAAGTAATTAATGATTGCATTAATTGTCATATATCCCTGTGAAACTACCGTGATAGAATAGTATTAAACAAACATTTGCGTAAAATGTTTGTTTTTAATGCGCTAAACTAAGCAATAATAGTAGAAGTTATATATACAAGTTACTATATACGAAACAAACTACAAAACTCAAGTGAACACCAATTTTACTAAAGTTGTTATTTTTAGACAACTAAATATATTTATACTTAATGAATGTTTTTTCGAATGTAATTCTAGTTTAAAATAAATTGGCTTAAATGTATAAATTTTATATGTTTCATAGATTTAATATTAAGCAAAGAGTGTTAACATTATAAATATTTTACTGTTTTAATGCATATACTTAAATTAGTTATATCATTCCCATTTTGCCTACAATAGATAGTCTGGTTTCGTAATGCTTCAATTAACCTATACCTATAAATTTTAGGATATTCTATATAAAATAGCGCTATAGAGGAATAAAAATCAATTTCAAAGCCTGAAATGGTTTTTATTTTTATGTATAAGTACAAAGTAATTAATATTAAGTTTAATATAAGCTATGCATGCTTACGTATTTTTATTGATCTGTTAGGATAGTACACAAGTGTTCAGTAATTTCAAATGTGCCAATAATTCTCTATAATAAACATTGTTTTTATTCATGCATCAATCCGATGGATACGCACGCACAAACTTGTCAAGTGTCAGTCACGAGTTCTGCCGTCAATCTATCGTTATGACATGGGCTTACATTTCATATATTATATTTATTTAAATGTTTTAATAACATTGTTTCTTTGTCACAGCGTCAATTTGTCCGAAAGTTGGCAAAGTTAAAACAGTGAAAACTGATTTAGTATACGAATGGAGTTAGACTACAGTTAAAAGAAAAATTAACAAGGGTTTGAATCGCGAGATTGTTATCTGTCAATTAATCACGATCCGTCCTTTTTTAATTGTAGATTAACTCCTTGTTTCATTCGTGCATTAATGCGGTCAATATTCATTTACGGAAACTTTGACAATACCATGCAACTGTCTCGGATGAGCAGTAACGTCAAAGGCTCATTAAGTTGACTAATTTTTTTAATTATTAATAATTAAAACCTTGTTCGATTTGCTTAAGGTGCTATTTTAAATAGCAGCGTCAGTATGCGTTCATGTAAATTGATGCTCCAATATAATAGTGAACGGTTTATATGTAAACAGTTTTAAGCTTTCCGATACATGCAAAACATTTCGTTTATTCAATGAATCTTGTACTAAACTTTAAAATGCGATTGGTACAGTCGAGTAGAGGATAATCATTTCAAAGTTTACAAGTTGTTTAGAACAAATTTTTTAGATGATAGAACCCATGCTTGACTCACCGTTGCCATATAATTTTAATAGCGTAACAAAGACTATGTATAGGATAATAAAATGGTGGAAGTTATGAGTTTTCAATAAATAACACAATAACTATAGCGACTTTTATTTAACACAAACTTAAAATTATTAGTCTTATTCTTTTACATATATATCATAGAACATATGTTTAGTGGTTCAGTTAAAAGAATATCAGAATAATAGGTTTCGAACCATTGTACCCAGGATAACGGGTAACATTGCTTTGAGAGTAGTACGTATTGGACAATTTTTGAAAGATTTGTTAGCTTTACATAAGATTTCCCTAAGCGCAGTCTTATACAATAAAAATGGTGATGGTATAACTAATTTTACATACTAATCTAGCATCTAGCAAACCTCTAGTAGAGAAATATAAAAACCTACCCTAAAGCTCCGATAGGGCTGATTTAATATCACATTAGTGAAGTGGCGACCTTATTGTTTCGCCTTAAGATGTATTTTACAACGCACAGACGAGTTTTCATGTTTTGAACGCTAATAGTAATACGACCAAAACACTCAAAACTATATCAAATAGTTATTTTAAGAGTTCTTAAAACGCTTCTGCAATAATCTTATTAAGTAGATAGTCTTAACATTCGAAGATTTAGAATGTAATTAATTTAGTCGACTTCAAGTTTTCTAAAGTTTCCTGTTAGGCCTCGCATAGCGTCTCCGACTGCATCAGCGCCGGCGCAAGTATTCGCACCCGCGCGTAGAGCTGAGATTGCGCCCTCTCGCGCCGCTTCGCTGTACATTTCGAGACGCACGGCCATTTTGTCGTTTAGAAGTAGAATGTCTCTCTTACTGGCCAGTTCTACTTTCCATAACTCTGAAACGATATTTTACATATTAAGTTTGGTTTAGTGTATTAGGCTATTTTGTTTAGGATTTATTTAGGGTTATAGATTTAGGGCATTATCTACTATTTGAAAAATCGTTAACTGTATTTAACTAAATTAAGCTGATTTTATAAAGTTTTTTTCATAAACATTTGTACCGCTTAAACTATTCATATTTATTTCGCATCTTGATATATATTAAGGGTTAGAATCAGAGATGCGACTAAGCTCTAAGTTCGACAAATCCAATTCGATTTTGACATACCTAAATTATCTATTGACAAAAAAATACTCACCAATCATTTCCTTCATCGGCATTGTACCACCGTACTCCGACGGTAGGAGACTCTTATCAATTTCTACATCCTCAACTGCAGTGTACAGTTTCACACGCTTTCGTATTTTCTCTGATATTAAAGCCATTCCAAAGTCAAGAGCAAACTTTACGGTCGGGTGTACATTAACGCCGTAAATTTCTTTGTGCCTCATCGGTATAGTTTTCTGTAAAATTTAATGTTTAAATTGACCGCTCGATCGAAAGAACATCTCATACTGATTTTTATCAGCATTGACTTGCACAAAACTAAAACTAAGTCCTTCCAGGTCTTGTGAATAACTTGGTGGCGCGATACGATACTAGAAAATTTATATTGTATTCATTTATGTATTAAAAATAAATCATACATTTTAACGGTACACATTTATCATGGATGATAACATAACGAAAATAGTATTTGTACCATTTTTTAAAAGACCTAATTTATTTGAATGAAATATGATCTCTAGTTACCTCTCCGTTTTTTACAATCCGTACAGCCTCTTTCGGAGTGAAGAGGGTAAGATGTGGAAAACTGACTCCAGCTCCATCAGCGTAGTGAACTACACCCCTGACCTGGCATTCTTCGTCTTCCATGAGGGTCTCATAACAAATTCCCATCACTCTACACATATCTTGATTTGTATATTTATAGGGATCGAATACTCCTGAAAAGAAACCATAATATAATTAGAGAATCGCAGTGATTTGATTATTGATATTTGATATTGGGTTTGGGTTTGCCAGTTTTTTATGATGATCCTCTTAACCTAATAAGCAAATGAATTGCGGATGTAGAATAATTTTTAATTGGTAGACAGCCAGGGTCGAATCTATTAGGCTCAAACGCGTAAGTAATAATTTTTTAGTAACATTATCAATGTCGCGTGTAATGCCCGGAATCGGTCAACGGTTTCATTATTTTAAATTCATTTTAAATATTGGTATATTGTGATAATTGATCGCGTTTGAGTAAAATTAAAAAATGGAAACTATTGGTAAGAAAAAAATAAGCCCAAAGTGTCATCGAGTATGTGTCTCAGCTGAAAGTCGGAAACTGACACAGGACCGGTGGAAGTTACTCGTTTCAGTGGCCAAAACATATTATAATATTATTTTTAAAGAACTTTTGTAAGTACTGTTGATTTTATGTTATCAAGAAAACTATTAATACCTGGTCTATAAATTACGACTCGTCGTCCAAGCTTGTCTTTGAAGGGGCTGACAAAAATGTACCTGTAATATAAAAGTTTTAGTATATACATGCTTGGCCAGCCATGTATCAAGTAAACAAACTCATTAAACTCTGATTGAGATGAATTGTATTCTCAGTACGTCAAATAATACTGTACCAAACAAACTTTTATTAAAATTTTGTTTCGTGACCTTGATACTACTTTACTTGCGTATTTTTTTGTTTACATTATCGTAAGTATAAAGTATAGGATGAAACTAGGAAGTAAACGCGCATTTGTTTTAAAATGATTATAAAAGGTTTGAAAATATATCACTATTTTTTAGATCATATTAATCATAGAAAACGTGACGTACATAATAATCTAACAAATCAAAAACTATTATCAGTATGTTTGAACCTACTACACATTTAAATCTTACCCAAGGTCGATAAGTTCCATCATAACAGGTAATTTGTAATCGAGTTGATTGAATGCGATACCCCACGACTGTCGCAATAGTATGTAACGCTCGATAGCTTCCTGAACCATGGGCACGCTAAACTTCTTTGTGCGCAGAAAACGTAGGAGGAAATTTGAATCTGGAACCAAATATGTTTATGTAGTGTCGATCCCACTGTTGGGTTCAAAGTGTTTACCCTTAATGTGGCTCTTAGATTTCCTATATGTAACGTCTTTGATTGATAATGTTCTGGTGCTTAAAATTGCTATTGATTCACGACTTATTTAGGCTATGTTACAGTAATGTTATAAATCAATTTTACAGTTTTTATAATGCCAAAGACTGTGCTTTATTATTTTATAAAAAAATACAATATTATTTTAGGCATAAGAAATTAGTACAGTAAATGTACGGCTGTCCGTCTAACCAATCACAATCATACGAAATTCGCCATCCATTTTATCCCACTTGTCTTTCCTTTTACATCTCATCATATGCAGAATAATTTATATAAAAATTAACACGAGAACCCTATTCTGTCAAACTTACGTACCCATTCTGATAGCCATAAATTTTGGATGTTGTTCCAACCAGTTTCTTAAGGCTTCAAGGGCTTGCGATCTGGCGTTTTCTGTTTCTCTCAGCTGCTCCTCAGCAATGGCTTGCGTCTCCGGAGACAGAGGACATTGATATTCGTCCACAGGCGTCAGATGTCGCTTTGTCAGTCGACGTGACATTGTGTTTCTTTATGTCTGAAAGGATAATCTTGGATTGTTTGTATTGGCAGGAAACTGACGTGGATTGAGCGTGGTAGAGGAAAGTTTGTTTATAAATGCAGAATATATGTCTTACGCATCTAACAACTTGTGCTAACTTATGTACCGGGAGCTTTAGTTCTCATATAAACAAAAGCTAATCAATCCCTGTCATATATTTATATACTTTTCGGAGACCACCGTCAATATATTAAGTTTTTTATTCCGTGGAAAACCAAGAAATAATAAATGTTAATAGTGGCCTTAGATAGACTAGCCAGGAATATTATTAATACGTCCAATGGTTGAGAGACAATTACAATAATTAAGTCAGTATAATAATAACTTAGAATGGTGCTAATTCTAATGTACAAGAAATATATTTACTAGTCTAGAAAATAATTTTTCTATTTAACAGAAAGAAGACAAAATGCATACTTTTTATTAAAGTTGCGTTAAAAACGATGTTCAACCTACCATGATTTATTATTGTTCATCAGATATTGAAAGTTTTTGAATTACAATATAAATAATATGTGTATCATTAATAATTGTGGTAAATTTGTCGAATCAAGGCGTCACCTTAAAACAGTTCCAAATATTTTTCTACATATTTTCATCACTCGGCAATGTTGTACCATGCATTAATGTAGTGGCGCATGCTCTAACCCCATAGAAATTAATTATAACATCATGGCTTGTGAAATGAGTGAAAGACGGTACCAATATATGAGTAGGGTAACCCACTGGGAACTGAGACAATATCATTTACGTCATGCATGTAATATTATCAGTTTTTTAATTTTTTTTAAGGGGTACAAAGCCATGCGCCTCCTTAATATCACTTGGGGTACTAAATTACTGGGGTACGAGCCGTTAGCTTTGCATGTTGTACTTTGTGTGTTGTGTACCGTTTCGTCTAAGAAAACCTAGTATCGTATAAAGGATACTTTTTATAATATAACTATAGCAGTATAAACGGGTACAAATTCAATTTTACCTAATAAAATCCTATAAATATTACTACATAAGCCCATACGATAATAATTGTAGAAATGTCTGCCCTGTGGTCTATTAGGGTATTACAGGACCAATTTAATAAAAATAGTAATATAATAAACATAAGAACGCTAGATAAATACGCCACTAATGTTTTTTGTAAAACAAACGAAAATCAATAGCCCTGCAACCGTTGAACTTGCCCTCAGATTTCTGTATGTGTTTGTGATAATTTTTTTCTTACTAGACAAGTAGGTGATCACCCTTCTGTGCCTGACACACGCCGTTAACTGCGGTCTAAGGCATGTCGGTTTCCTTACAATGTTTTCCTTCACCATACAAGAGAGTGTTAAATGCGCACATAGACTGAAAACTCAATTGATACACAGCTGTAGTTCGAACCTACGACCTCTAGGCTGAGGATATCCCTGTTTTGAAAACTAACCCGTTACGTTATTATTAGGACGTTACAGTAACATATAATAGTCAATACTCTGTTATTATTTTAACCCGTCTCTCAAAAGCCCAAGTTTTATAACAACAAAATACCTCAAGTTCCTATTAAAACAACAAAAGATCTCGATAAAATGTAAAGCGGTCGAAACTAGATAATTATATTCTATGAACAGATGCTTATTATGAAAGCTCATTCCATCACCACTCACTCTTAAATTTCATAAGTCATAACTTGCAAAATTATTTACTCACATTTTGTATGGAGTAAGAGTTCCCGCCTCGTGATCTTAAGCAAGCAATGTTGTGCAATGAAATACTAATTTTTCGTGGTTACATAACTTGCATTTGATTTTACTCTGAATTTAACTATTATTATATATTGTTTTAACTAACTACTTGTCACATGCTTAGTTCAAGTATATACAGAAGGCGTTCTTCTGAACCGTCAAAGGAGGTTCCTATGAGGACTATGGCTCTTAGTTATGAGGCTGCAGAATAGGATGCCCTATATTCAAATAGTTCTCTCTATTTTATTTTACGCCAAATAAAGCAGTCTTTATAAGTTATTATTCAAATCAGAGCGGAAGTTTCTATTTATATCTATATCATTTGAGTTACTGTAAACGTAATATTTATAAAAAAATATTAAAAAGTTTAATAAAAAAATATAAGTATTAAAAAAAAACAGGGACCAAACTTTTTAAATTTGTTTTGATTTTGATTATTTCTATTATTACTTTGTAGGTTAAGAAAATTGTAAATACATACTTGATTGTAAATAAACAATAATTTCCGTTTAAAAAGTATTAAAATATTATAATATAAAAATCAACCAATCTGGATAACGATTATCCCGCATAAATCGCCTTGCTCGCCTCCAAATTTCATCGCATAGCATATAAAAGTTCTATTAAATTATGTACTCACTAGTATGAAGAATAACTTGCCGGAATGTCGTCCGTTCACGAGCTGGTTATGAGTAACACTGACCGTTGGTGCAACGCACAACGCTGTTTTGCTTTTTAATGTAGTCTTAGTATAGCTTCGCGGTTACATAGTCATTACCTTTTGATTATCAGGCTATTTCAGCATCCACTCGTGGTTTAGAAAACTCACGCAAATTAAGGCAATTCTGTAATAGGTCTTTATCGTGGAGCAAGACCCTAAAATAAATATACCTCTATAATCATAATAGTGCCCCATCCTGATTACTACATTGACATACATTTTATTTGACCTGGTGCACATTATTGTTACGTCAATTTAATTAATTAATAAATTTTTGTCTGGATTGTTTCACATGCCTTGAATTTCCGCAAGGCCTTTGTGGAAAATTGATTCGACTTCATATAGGTACAAGTTTCTAACTTGGAACCTAAATGGATCAATGTACATAAAAATAAAACGTCTCATCTGGGATCTCTTCGAAGAAGGCTCATGACAGGAATTCAAGTCTTAGGGGTGATCCCGTGGCGAAAAGTGTTTCTTATAATGTAATGTTAATAACTATATTTTTAATTTCGCAGCTATCATTAAGAAAAATGCTTGCGCTTGCTAGAAAGTTTCATAATTACTTTAAGAAGGATTATTAAAAAAACATTTATAACTATATATATATAGTTAAAAATGTTTATAAATATATATAACTATATATATATAATGTGGTAGACGGATGAGATAAATTTTGCATTCGGAAATCTCGAGTAGGTATATACGAGTAATTTGAATTTGTAAGTTTCACCCGAATTAAAATATTAAGGGTACAATAAAAGCTTTATTCGCTCACAAGAAAAGAAAAATATGTATATGATAAAACTCAGCTTTTATTATATAACGAAAGTTTAATTAAAATTAGTTACAATTTAAAAAGGGGTGTAAAAAGTGTCCGGCAATAAACTGTTTTGCCCCCTGTTCTATATAAAAAAAATGGATAACGTGGTTTCTAAAGTTATCCTGAAGAAAGTATAAAATAGTTGAACTTTATACTTAAGGAATTTAAGGTACTATTTAACACTTTTTAATTATGAAAAAAAAATTATAGAAAATAATCGTAGCGCGAAACAGTTGAAGTATTACATAAACAAATTAAACTACCATGCTGCAGAAATGGCTTACATTAAGGTCGAACAGATTTGTAAACACTAATTTTAACAATGCATTGCTGCAATAGTATGCATAATTAAATAGTTTGAATCATTATTTGAGTTTTTTGGCTAAAAGAGTAGTTTATTAGGTTCCATTAGAAATAAGAAGGTGCTTCGAAGATGTGGGGTCGCCATGAACTTGTTTTCGTGCATGCACTGCTTGAAGCTGTTCAAAAAATTCAACAATATAATTTTGTCTATTGTTAAATGCATTAACCCTTAATTTGGCGGAGATCCGAGTTGTTTTATTTTATGAAATAAGATGTATATCTGAAATCCTAGGGTTAAATACAACTTAGGAAAAATAGACAAAAAAATATTTTCCTTTCAGATTTTCAGGAAATCAACGTTCATCACAGAGTACACTGCGAAATATGTTGAGGATAGCAAGTAATTTGTAATGTTCACTGTGGTAAACGTTGTCAAATTAGTGTCATATAAACAGGTAAATTAAAAACATTATACATATCATTAAGTCAACTTATTTATTATGAAAATGTAAAAGACAATTGCGAGGATTTTTTCCCGTAACAAAACAAAGTCTCACATAGCATTTTATACAATATACAGTTGTGTTTTTCTGGCCAAACTTGCATCACCCCATGTCTTCTTTTGTGCTGGGAAAATGTCCTGTATTATCGAATCTGATGGGGCTTGTAGGCCTGGCTGATCTTGGGTTTATAATTTTACATTCTTGTATATTTTCACGAGGTATAGATCTATTTTTCTTTGTTAAACTTAAGTAAATTTCATATCGGAAAACTTTCAATGACTTTGATTTTCGTTGACTTCCCTGACAGTTATGTTTATACAATAGCCATGCATTATTTATACACACATCTAGAAGTTGGCTAAATATTCCTATGTACCACCTTCTAGTTTTGAATGGAACTTTATATAGTGATATCAGCATATCAGCCAGGTCTACACCCCCCATATGTTTATTATACTCGCGAACTATTTGCGGACAATCCACTTCTATTTTTTGTTTCTGTTCTTTGTAATACCTTTTTTTTGTACAATAAATGAGCTTATAAGAGTTACAGGTTTATTATCATTCCAGCGTACTATAACTAATTTGTTTGCATCACAGACAACACACAAAGCACATTATTTGTAAATAAAAGTTTTCCCTAATTTGGCAATGTTCATCACAATAAGCATATCAAATTGACAGTACTTATTCGAGTATTTGGCAGTGTTCACTGTGATGAACAACCAAGTTTGCCTCCAAATAAAAGTTACCAACAACACAAAACACTACGTAAAATCCATTCCAAACCAAAGCATAAGTATTGTTTAGCAAATATAAACCATAAAAATTTAGTTTAGTCAAATATAACATAATTTAAAAAAATATTTACCTTGCGAAGAATCGAGTGC